GTGGGAAGACTTTTTTGCTCATTTCTTTGTACTTCCAAAAAAACCACACACACACACACACACACACACACACACACACAAGTCCCCTGCACCCCAGAAAGCAGAGCGGGCGTGTAAATAATTTATGGAAAGTGACTGTTGTGACCAGGAGTCATCCTCACCAAGATGGGAGAGCTCCCGGTGGGTCCGCGCCCACCCTGCAGATGCAGGCCTGGGGCCTCTGGTATCTCAGCTTGTGTCAAGCTTGTTATCATGTAAATTCTGTACAAAGAATTGTTATTTTTCTCTTTTTTTTTTTTTTGTCGTTGATGGTTTTGTTGTGGTTTGTTTTTTTTTTTCCCCTTCACCCCACGCCCTCTCTGTTTGAGACTGTCCCCTGGTTTCAAGGCCCATGAAATCAGTGGCATTAAGACACAGAGTGGGGACCTGGGCATAGCGGTGGACTTCTCTTCCATTTGCGGTTTGCTGCCTACCTGTGCAACTGAGGAAATATTTATTTTTCACATGAGGAAATGTGTAGTTCGTAGAGACAGCTGATTTAAGTTACTTGTGCAGCCCCCAAGGGGCTGTCTTCGTTCTGTCCCCACCCTCCACAAAAGAAGTGGGGGGTGATATGGGGAAACCAGGGGCTGGGGCCAGCCTTAGCCCTCACCCTGGCCTCACCTTGCCCAACCGGCGAGGGGCCAGGCCCTCCCCGTCCCCAGGAACCCCCATTCCACCTCTGAAATGGTTTGCCATATCCAGAAATGTCTTGGCCCAATTTTTCTTTCAATGCCTTCATTTTTATTGAACAAATTTTGCTTTTAAAGAATTGGGGGTTTCTGCTTTGTTTTTGTTTTTTTTCCCTTGTCCTTCCTTACCTGCCTCCCTCCTCCTGAAAAGAAGAGAACCCATAAATTTTAGGGATGTTTGTGCATATAGGCTCTATCATCCGTATGTAACTTGTTTTGAAGAGAAGTGTTTCCGTTGTGGGTGTGTCTTGCTGTAAATATTTGTTCATATTTTTGTGAATTCAATACTATGTACCATTGTATTATAGTAACTTTTATAAAGCAAACCATAAATATACTGACTTTTCTTACAGATAACGCCATCTCTCTTGCTCTCCTCTCTCTCTTCCTCTCCTTTCTTTCTGTTGGGCTCACACTCTGTTTTCATAGAGGGTGGGTTGATTGGGCTGGGGGAAGGGAGAAAGAGCTAGGTGGGCTGTGGTCCTCTCAGACCAGCAGTCCTTAAACTCCGCCCTGTAGGTGAATTCCATGAGCTAAGGCAAGTTATGGTTGGATTGGACCATTGCACAACTTTTTAAAGTTTTCCTTCTAGAACCTTTTTTTTTTTTTAAGATTTTATTGGGGAATCGGGGAAGGGGAACAGACAAGTTGCTGTCCTTTTGTTCTTCAGTCTGGTTGTGGAGGATGTTGCTTCACTGGCCCACGTTGGTATTATCATTGCGCTCTTCCCGGGTGAGGCAGTCACTTGCCAGCCATTGGATGGCCGCTCACGGTGGCTCACAGCAGCTCACAGCAGCTGCCGGTCAGCCCCACTGCAGCCTATGCTGTTGCGGGCAACTCACAGCAGCCCAGCTCTGGGTAGAGCTGTTGTTCACCATCTTAGCTGTAGAGGGCACAGTGTCACTGGCCCTCATGTGGGATCCGAACCAGGACCCTGCTGCTCAGAGCTGGTGTCCCAAGCCAACTCCTAACCAACATGCTACTCGGCCGGCCCTAGAACCTTTCTTAAGACCTTAACTAACACTGCTAATAGTCTTTAGTAAAGGAAACAAGATCCAATATCCTATTGCTATCACTGAAAGAACTCAAAAATGTTTCAGATTTAAGGAGACAGTGCTCTTGTCTGCATTTGAGGGAGGAGGAAGCTGATAAAATAGTCACAGGTTGAGAAAAATTAAACATATGTAGTGTGTGTGGTATTCCAGGTAGGTCTCAACTCTGCCTTATCCATTGGTGGGGTAACCCCGGGTCCCACAGAGTTTGTTAGACGATGTCCACTTATCCCTGAGAAGAACAGATTCAAAACCTCAGCAAGAAGCAGCGTAATTGAAAAAATGCTGCATCTCCTTTTTTACCAGAGAAATGCAAATTATACCACAATAACATTTCCCCTATCAAGTGGCAAATATTAGTTAGAAGATACCCAATATTGGCAAGCATGAGGTGGGGTGGGGGTTGGGCACTCATGCAGAAATTGCTACCACCTGTAGGAGGAAAACTGAGATATTAACAATCAGTATTTAAAATACGCATCAACTCTTGGCCCAGATGTTCCACTGTCAGGAATTGAACCCGACAGCCCCAAGTAGGATGTACAAGGATGTCCTTGGCAGCCTCAGTGTGAACAAAGAAATGAAGGCAGGGCAGGCGTCCATTAGGGGTGGGCTGCTTTTCGGAGTTATACATCCAGACAGGTGAACACCACTGCAGCTGGATTTGTAGGAACAGAAAAATGGCCGAGGGTGAGGCTGAGCCAGGAAAGAAGGTAGATGCAGCCCATGGCCATTCATTCAACCAATATTTATTGAACACCTATTCTATGCCAGATACTCCTCTCGGTACCGGGGATCCAGGAGTGGAGAAAGATGGCTCACCTTCGTGGGGACTGTTTTTGTGGGTGGGCTAGACAGTCAAGAAGAATAAATGCTATAGCCAGGAGAAAAATAGCTAGGAGCAGAGGTGTCAGTGGGAGGGCAGTGCAGTTTGAAATAGGGTGGTCAGGAAGTCCATTCAACCAACATGGGAACCAAACTCGAAGGAGATGAGGGTCCATTTTCTCACTGTAGACACCGGGGAGAAGGGAATTCCAGGCTGAAGGAACGGTGCGTGCAAAGGCCCTGAGGCAGGCTCCTCCTAGTGTGTATGAGGACCAGCAAGGAGGCCTACAAGGCTGCAGCTGATTGGGGAAGGGGCGGGGAAAGGAAATGAGGTCCCAGAGGTACTGAGGGGGCACTGGGGAGGCAGACAGTGTAGGGCCTCGCAGGGCAGCATATGGACAACCCAGGGTGTCCAGCCCAAGGCACATAAGGGAAACACACATTCAAATTTGAGCTTCCTTCATCGTCCCTTGAGCCTGCTCCTCCTGCTGTATTTTCCACCTTGGTCAATGGCCCTTGTATTCCCTGCCTCTCTACCCACCACTGCTGCTGCTGGTTACCTAAGCTCAAACCCCGGAAATCTGGGACTTCTTCTCCCTTATTCTTCAAATCACCCACGTCTTCCTTTGCCTCTCAGACCCACAGGATAAGTCCTTTCTTCACTGGTTCTGCTGTAGGTGCCAAAAAGGGAGCCCCAAATGGAGACATCTGTATGCATAGGGTAGAGTGGGGTGGGGTGAGGAGGGGAGGTACCAGGTAGACTTGGGCAGAGCCCTTCACACAGGCCCCTCGCCAAAAATAACAAGAGCAAACACATAGCACTGACACTGTGCCAGCCAGTTTTAAACATCTTTGATATTAAACCCACAGCAGTGCTCGGAGGTGGGTATTAGTTCATCCCCATTTAACAGATGAGGAAAACAGACACTGAGAGGTCAAGTCGCTTGCCCAAGGTGACACAGTCAGTAAGTAAGTGGCTGACCTGGGGGTGAGAACCCAGGCAGTCTGGCTTCCTAGTCCGTGCTCAGCTAACGTGGGTCCACTCTGCCTAGCCCCCACTTAAAGAGGCAGCCACCTCGTGGCTCATTGTTGCTACATAGGGAGGCAAGCCCAGAATTGCCTGATGGTTCCAAGAAGAACCAGAATCCTAGAATTTGTATGTGAAATATCCCAAGTTTCTGAAATGTTGACAAATTGGTTTGAAACCATGCAGACAGAATATGTCTGTGAGCCAGCTTTGGCCCGTGAGCCACCAGTTTGCAAGCCTCCTGGGTTATAGAATCTCCCTCCTTTGCATAAGCCTTCCAAAAGGAAGGGAGGGCAGTATTTTTAACCAGCAATGGGGGCCTGGGGCCTGCCGTTGTTCTCTGGGTTCTCGCTGATGCTCTTTTCATTTCTGAAGTTCATGATCCCAGAAGCCTTGACCTCTTCTATTACCTGAAAAAAAATTCTCCCATTTATCAAATTAGATTTTTTTTTCTTACACCTGCTCCTAATTCTGAGTTGAGTCACCCTCAGCGAGGGCTGTGTATTAAGCATCAGAAACAGGAGAAACCCAATTTGCCCCCACCTCTTCCTCTTTGGTTTTGGAGAAAAATGTCCTTCCAAGAGTTTTAGGCCTAGTAGCTCCTCTCCCAACTGCGTCATTCTTTTGCAAGGGTCACTCACACTTGAACATGGACTAGCTACTTTCCAAATGGAATCCCTTCGTTACTGGGAGCAAGTCGGAGGAGAGTGGAGTGGTATTGGGGGACCGGTGACTGCTATGCTGAGGGGCTCAGATCCCTCCTACCCGCTCTACCTCTCAGACCAGGAACCATGTCCAGTGGCTGCTGAGCGGGGATGCTTCTCCAAAGTTCCTTGGCTAAGAACTTCCCCTCTCCTATGTCTGGAAGTTTGGGCTCAGGGCAATAAAGATGGGGACAGCTCATCTTTAGAGATCATAAAGCCACCAGACAGAATGCTGCCAGGTGCGGTCCCACATTTGGGCTGTTAACCCTTGCTGTTTCTTTTTCCTGGGATGCTCTTTTCTCAGATTTTCCCATAGTCTGGCTCCCAGAGGGGCCTTCCCTCCATCGAAATGAGTCCTCCCTCCCAGCTTCACCTCCACACAATCTCATCACCTGCTTTATTTCCTTAATAGCATTTACCACTTCATGAAACCATACTGTCTGTGTTCCCCTCTAGAGTGTAAGTCCTCTGCACCCCTTGGTTGCAGAATTCCCCTGACCTGCGCAGTCCTGTTAGCAGGGCGCTTGGACCCAGCGCTTCGGCTCCGGAGGCGCTAGGAACCCGTTACGCGGAGGCCTCTTGCGGCGCTGTGGCCCTGAGCGCCCCCTGGCGACCAAAGAGCATCACTGCTCCAGCCCAGTACAAACACCAAGACACCCCATTGGAACCCGGTCCGCTTTATTCCGGAGGCAAGGAGCGGCCCAACCGAGGTGGCAAGGTCAGGTGGGCGGAACCTCTGAAGGAGGGGAGGGGAGTCCCGTGTGAGGTGGGCGTGCTCCAGGTCCAGGGGGCGTGACCCGCCGTGCGCCTGCGGGTGGGCGGTGCCTCGACGGCTCAGGAGGGGCGCGTGGGGCCTACATGCCGTGGATTACCCCGTTGGTGTCCATGTCCGTGAGATTGCCCCGCAAGTTCTGCTCCTCCTCGAAAGCCTTGAACAGTGAGTTGAAGTTGCCGGCTCCAAAACCCTGGAGCAGGAGAAAGGAGGTGAGTTGCTGGCGCAGAAAGCTCAATGGGGCTAACCTACATGCCGCCTTGGGCTTGCTGGCGACAGGTGGTACCTGGTGGTTGTGGCGCTGAATAACTTCCAGGAAGAGCGTGGGCCGGTCTTGCATGGGCTTGGTGAAGATCTGCAGGAGGTAGCCTTTCTCGTCGTAGTCCACCAGGATTTTCAGCTCCTAGGTGGGAGACGGGACTGGGTTAGGGGGACGCTGGCCCGCCCCTCTAGTATGGTGGGATCCTTAGAAAGGCCCTAGGAAGGGGCTCCTGCACCCACTAAGCCAAGAAAAGAGATCTTTCTCCATCCGTTACAGAAACCTCAAAATAGACCCCCCCCCCTGCCAAATTGTCCTATTACCAGCTCCCTGCCACAGTCCCTGTGTAAGCCTCCATCATGGCTGGCCTGGGCCACCCCAGTAGTCTCCACAGAGGTCTTCCTGCTTCCGCTCTTGCCTCCATACAATCCACCTTCCCCACAGACATAGAGGGATCTTAAAAATCAGATCATGCCATTCCTTATTTAAAACCCTCCAGTGGAAATTGGAACCCTCATAGGTTGATGGTGGGAATGTAAAATGGTGCAGCTGCAGTGGACAACCATCTGGCACTTGCTCAGAAGGTTAAACATAGAGTTACCTTATGACACAGTAATTCCACTCCTAGGTTATCTACCCAAGAGAGCTGAAACATATGTCCACACAGAAATTGTACACAAATGCTCATAGCACCTTATTCGTAAGAGCCAAAATGAATGTCGTCTATTCATGCGATGGACTATTAAAACTCAGCCATAAAAAGGAATGAAACACTGACACTTGCTACAGCATAGATGAGCCTTGCAAACATTGTGCTAAGAGAATGAAGCCAGTCAAAAAAAAATCACGTTTTATATGATTCCATTTATATGACATGTTCAGAAAAGGCAAATCTATAGAGACAGAAGATAGATCAGTGGTTGCCTAGGGCTGGGGGGCGGGGACGAGTAGAATGGTGGGTTTGGGAAGTGATGGCTATGGGGTATGAGGTGTCTTCTTTTTAGAGGGATGAAAATGTTCTAAAATGGATTCTGATCACCGTTGCACAACACAGTGAATAGTTACAAACCCCTGAATTATGCACTTCGAAAGAGTGATTTATATGTTATATGACTTGTATGTCATTAAAACTGTTAAAAACAAAACCAACCAACCAACCAAACAAACAAACAAAAACCCCTACAAAGGTTTTCTGGCCATAGAAGAACAAAAGCCTACAAGAGGAATCCGCCCCTGTCTACCTCTATGACCGAGGCCACTCCTCAAACACATCCTTTAATCCACGCTAGCCTACTTTCTGTTCCTCAGACACTCGGAGCTTCTCCTACCTCACGACCTTTGCACTTGCTGTTCCCTCTGCGAGGACTGCTCTTTACCCAGCCCCTCTCATCATCTAGATTTCACTGAAATGTCACCTCCTCAGAGAGGCCTTCCCTGACTACCTCCTGTAAAGTAGTCCCAGGTCACTCTCTGTCATAGCCTCTTTTACCTTTCTGCATGACACTGACTCTATCCCTCTCTGATGGTGTTTGTGTTATTTTTCATCTGTCTTCCCACTAGTATGCAAGTACCCTGATTTCAGGGACCTGGTCTGGTTTTCCTCTGTGTCCCCCTGTGTCCTGGTGCCTGCTGTAGAGTAGAGGTTTTGACAGTGTTTGTGGGGCTCATTGTCCCAGCTGACCGAGGAGCCTGCTTTCGCCTCACCTCCAGGATATCAATGTTCTCCTTCACGCGGATCTTGGCCGACTTGAGCTTCTCCCGAAGTTGTTTGTAGTACGTGGATGGAACAGCCAGGAATTCTATGCCTCTCTCTCTCAAGTGGCGAATCTGTCTCAGAGCAGGGTCAAGGTCAGCCTCCTTCTCTTTCCATGCTCAACACCCTTACCCAGGTGGAGGTACTGTGCCAGGAGGAGGCAGGGTCCTTATCCTGACTCCTCCAAACTTCCAGAATGTGCTGTGACCTTATGCCCTTCCTCCTCTGGGGCTCGTGGGTTCCATTAGAAGAACAGCAATCACTAACATTGATACAATGCTCACCATGCGCCTTTCTATGTATTGCCTCGTTATGTCCATGCAGTGATCTGTTGAGGTATCTGGATGGTTATTATCCCCATTTCATAGCTGGGGAAACTGAGGCATTGAGAGATTCAGTATCTACTCTCAACATGGTAAGCTTTTTTTTTTTTTTTTTTTTTTTAGCTGAGCCATCCTGCCACCTGTTGGCAGCTCAGCGGCTGCTCAGCTCGGGCTGGACTCGAACCGCTGTTGCTCAGAGCTCAAACTCTTGAGCGAGCTCTTAACCAACTGAGCCACTCAGCAGGCCCTTAGCCAGAGTGATTTTACTGAAATACAAGTCAGGTCACGTCACTTCTCTGCTTGCCCCACAGTTGTGGTATGTTTTAGAGTCATATTCAAAGTCCCCACCATCTGCCCCTACTCCGACGCTCTGACTTGGTCTCGTACCTCTCTCTCCTTTGCTCATTCTGTTCCAGCCACCCTGATCTTGCTGTTCCTTCAACTTCCTCTTCCCTGGCTGCCCCTTTGGCCTGGGGTGCCCCCCCACCCCATCCCCCCATATTCATATGCTTTCCTCCTTTTAACTCTGCATTCTCAAATGTCTCCTTCTCAGTGAGGCCTTTCATGGTGTGACCACCCTATTTAAATATGCAATGTCCTTCACCTTCCCTCTCCCACTGCCCTGCTTTATTTTCCTCCAGGGCACTCGCCACTATCTAACATACATATTTTACTTATTTTGTTTTCTGCCTCCAAATTGTCTTGTTGGCTGATGTGTCCCAAGTACCAAAAACAGTGCCTGGCACGTATTAGGTGCTCAATAAACATCTATTGAGTGAATGGATGAATGAATGAATGAAGTTGCCAGGGTCGTGCAGTGAATTCTTGGTTGGGCCAGGATTGAATGGGACAGTCCAGGCTCTTGTCCACTCTGCCACACAAGGACTAGGTAGGACCCAGCCTCCCTCAGGGCTGGATCCATAGACTTGGGACATTTAATTTGGCTCAAAGGACCTAACCAATCTTGCAACCTAACGTCCTCATTTTCAAGGTGAGGCAACTGAAGCCTAGAAAGGGGCTTGAACCCTGTAGAGAAACACAGCCAGTCACTGGCGGAACTGGGAAGAGAACCCATGTGTCCTGTTACTTTGGCACTTGCTATTTCTAAAGCCTAGAGCATTCTGCAGAGGCACTGAACTCTCCAGGGTAGCAATGTGCCTGCCCATGAGTGGCAGGAACCAGGGAGGGGGCCTGTCAGCCCTCCGGGCCAATGAAGGGCACCCAGAATTGCCACCCCCGCTCCAATTTGCAAAAATTGGCTCTGGAGCTGAGTGGGAGGTAAATTAGGACCAGGAACGGGCTTCTAACCGCTGTGATGATGTCGTGGGTCTTGAGAGCGATGTGCTGGACCCCAGCGCCCCCGTTATAGTCCACATATTCCTGTGGGAGGGAAACATGGAAACCCCTGTCATTGGTCCCATGCTGCCCCCACAAGAGTCCTCAAACCTCTTCCCTGGTTTCTTCTTCCCCAGCCAGACCCCTCGGGCACCAGGGAGGACCCCACCTGGATCTGGGACTTCTTTCTGCCCGGCGCCGGCTCATTAATGGGCATCTTGATTGACTCCTCATAATTTGCCACCACGATGGAACGCAGAGAGCTGTACTCCGTGTGCACCTGCGTGTCATCCACGGACCAGAAGCGGTGGAACTGCAGGTTATTCAGGTACCTGTGGGGTGGCCGGGAGGGTGCGTTGGCGCTGGGACTGACTCCATGCCCCTATTCTACCTTCTAGAACGTGTTCCCTGAGCAGGCTCCAAAAAGGAACCACCGCTCACTTCATGTACACCATAGATTTGTGCCTTTATTATGACAGTTTCCCTGCAGGGGGAAGGAAAGTCTTGTAACAAGATCCTTATAGGATGGCAACGCTCCCACGGGTGCAAGTGCTTTGAGAAGGGGCACTTGCTTCTCATTTGCACGAGGCCACTGTTTGGCTAGTGACAGTCTTCCTCTGAGCCTCCCTGGACTGTGACACCCCACCTGTGCCAATGCCCCAAGGTTCCTCAGAGAGAGGACCTGTGCATCCCTTTGGGCCTTAAATCTTTTGGTCTCCATGGGGACGGTTTTACAGGGAACAGATGAGTCGGTGACCTCAAGCTAAGCTACCACCTCGTGTTCCTTTTCCCACGTTGGTGTCCTGAGACAAGAACTGGGGAGTAGGCCTGTCGCCTTCATGGGAAGGGCTTGGGCCAGGGACTCACCAGTCTGAGGCGGACACCATCTCTTGATCAGGCTGATTTCCTACAATATGATCAATGACCTCGAGCTTGCAGTGGGGCCTGGGAGAGGGACGTGGTTAGGAGGTGAGGATAAGATTACTCCCTATATCTCCCCCTTCCCACTGGCCCCTCAATAACAATAAGAGCTCCCAATTATGTAGCGCCTACCATGGGCACTTTATTTGTGTCAACTCATGCCCCCTCACTACCCCATTTTACAGACGAGAGACTGAAGTGTAGGGAAATAAAGTAACTTGCCAAGGTTAAGGAGCCGTGAAGTGAAAGAGATGGGATCTGAACCCAGGCAGTCTGGTTCCAGAGCCTATACTCTTCGTCTCCAGGCTGCCTCAGGGGCGCCCCGGGAGGCTCGCCATGTTCTCCTTCCTCAGAAAAGCCCAGTCCCCATCAAAGAGAGGGGCATTCCTCTCCACCCCTCACCTCTGCCCTGAGGGGCACTCACAGCTTGGAAAGTTGAGGGTCCTTGAAGACTGGGGCCTCGAATCCAGGCAAGAACCGGCCAGTGTAGTTCATTTTCTCCACCAGGGTGTGTGTCGTGTCCCCATACTATGAGCGGAAAACAGCCTGGCTTGGCCTCTGAGCGCCCAGTGCCACAGAGGCCAGGCCGCATTTCATGGCACCAGCATAGACCTTAGTCCCAACAGGGGACTGACCCTAACTCGATGTGTGATCTTGGGCAAGTCACTTCCCCTTTCTGAAATGAATCGCAACCTGTCACTTGGCAATTGCTTTCACAGTCTGTCTGCCCCATGGAACCGGAAGTTCTGTGTGGGCAGGGACACTCTCGCGCACTGCCGTGTCCCTAGCACCTAGGGCAGTGCTTGGTGCACAGTACGTTCTCAATAAAAATAGGTGAACTAAATGAAGAATGATGAAGGCGTTGGATCAACGTATACTGAAGGGCTCTTTCCATCCTAACAATCTTTAAGTGGTATGTAAACTTGAGACGGTAGGAACTATGCTTGTCTCTGTATGACAATGACACGGGTGCTCAACAAACTTGGTCATCTTTGCTGAGTGTCTACAATATGCCAGGCGCTGCTTTAAGTGCTGTCCATGAATGATCTCATTTGATCCTAGGAGCGGGTATAGCTGAAGAAGCTGAGCTGCAGAAAGGTTAAGTGGTATGTCCCAAGTCACACAGGGGGCCCAACGCCAGTCCTTGCTCATCTAAATGTAGTCACAGAGAGGTGAAATGATTTTCTCAAAGTCACACAGCTGATGTGGGGTGGGACGTCCCCAGACCCTATCTCTCTCGTTTTCAAAGCCCCTACCTGACATGTATGTCCCCATGTTGTCAGCCCCCACTGGGGAGGAAGGGAAGCCCCGTGGGGGTGGCTGGTAGCTGTCACCAGCTTCTGCACACTGGCCAGGCGTTACAGGTTGTCAGACTTGAGGGAGAAGTCTGTGCTTTGAGGCACAGGGTGGGACGGCACAGGGGTCGGGGTGAGGGTGGGGAAACCTGGCATCTCATTGGGTGCTTGACCGCAGGAGGGTAGGGACACCAAAGTTAACTCACCGTCTGCAGCACAGCGAATTTCACCTTCCCAAACTTGTCTTGCTCTACCCAGGGCTCCCGAATGATTTTGGCGCCTCGTTCCCGAGCTTTCTGCAAGGGAGATGGGGTGGGGGAGGCGGTAAGGGCTGGTCCCTCCCAGAGCTCTTGCTGGCTGTTCCTGTTGGATCCCCTCTGCGTGGTCCTGCCACAGCCCCCTCCAATTTTAACAGCCCCAGGCAGGAACCCCAGCCAGCTACTGTTGCCCCTGAGACCTATGCCTCCTGCCCATTTGGTAGATTGGGAAACTGAGGCTCAGGTCCAGAGTTGGGGTTCTGGGAGACAAACCATGTGGGGGTGAGGGTCTGTCCTGTCTCTGCTAACTCACTCTGTGGCCCTTTCCCCTCTCCAGTTCTCAGTTTCCCCATCTGTAAAAAGGGTGGTTGGATAAGAAAAATATGAGCTGGCTTTAATTGAGCACCTACTATGTGTCAGACCCTCTGCCAAGTGCTTTACATACACGATTCATGCATTTATTTACCAAAATCTTACTTACTGTATGTCAGTGCTTATCACATATCAGGCAGTGTTGTAGATATTAACCTCTTTAATCCTCACGGCAACACTACACTCAAGGTACTGTTGTTCTCTTCATTTTATAGGTGAGGAAATTGAGGCACAGAGAAGTTAAGTCACTTACCCAAAGTCACACAGCTAATAAGATTCAGACCTGGCAGCTTGCCTCTGGAATCTATGCTCTGAACCTCAAAACTGCCTCTCAAATACAGTATGTGGTTCAGAGTCAGGCTTAAGTAATGGTAATTATATCTTATATCCTCTTTGTAATAGTGAGGTCGGTGCTGTGGTTATCCCCATTCTATAGATGTGGAAACTGAGGCTTAGAGTGAGGACACACAGTTAGTCAGGGGCAGGGCGTCACTGGAACTCAGGCATGTGTCACACCAACGTGGCAGTGTCCTCCAGCCCTGACGGATAAGGGGTCCCTAGGGCAGACAGGGTAGGCCAAGCCTTATGGCTTCATCTTCATGCCAGCCCAGGTGTGGTCTTACCTGTACAATGTAGTCACAATCTTCCACCTCAAACGCGATGTCCTTCACTCCATCCCCGTGTTTCACCAGGTGATCGCCCATCTCTGTGGCCGGCAAGGGGAGAGTGGATGGCGCTGGAGTCATGGTCCCCTCACCTGTACGCCCAGCCTGCTGGGCTCCATCTCCTTCTAGGCTGAGGCCCCCTCCCTGAACCCTGACCCACCCCCTGCCCCCCACAATACCATGTCTCCACCCCCTGGTGCCCCAACCTCCCTGGGGCCCCCTCACCTTTGTGCCAGGGGTTGAGAGCAGAGGAGAAAACAAACACAATCTAAGACACAGAGGAGAAGGGAGGTGAGCTGGTGGCTCAGGAGCCAGGAGAGTGTGGGCAGGTGGACCCCCACCCCCTCCTCCCTGCCCATCATTGAGATGGGGCAAAAGAACCAAATTATCCCTCCCAACTGCTTGGCCCTGAGTTCCAGCCCCTGCTCTGCCTTAGTTTCCCCCCTGGTCCTGAGGGATGGGGGCTTCTCCTGTGCCAGACACCCCTGGGGTCCTGAGACAAGCTGCTGGGTAAGGCCTGCCCATGGGGAGCGCTCCAGGGACATCCAAGGCCTCTGCCAATTGTTCCTGAACATCTGTGGAGCCCGCGTTGGGCCAGGCTGAGAAGGAGGTGAAACCAAGAAACCTAAGAAGGTCCCCGTTGCATGTTGTACAAAGGTGCCCGGCGGAGGGCCCAGTGGGTGCTGCACTCAGCCCACACTCCCCTAGCTGCGCCTAGCATTCCGGAAGAGGCCTGGGCCTGCCTGGAGGAAGGGCCTTCTGGTCTACTTCACCCTAAGGCGTGCAAGTCGGGGAGCTCAGAGACCAGCGGGGAGAGAGAGACAGGCCCCTGGATGAGTGGCAGTCCTGGGGCGGGGACTCACCTCCCCTTGCTTGATCACGTGGCTGACCACCTCCCTGGAGCCCGTCTCCAGGCCCTTGTAGGCTAGTGGTTCGAAGCCCATCTTGTTGCAGTAGAAAGACGCAGCCTGGATCAGAGTTGCAAATGGGTTTGTGAAGGCCAAGGGGCCAGCCTGGGGGGCCCCCAGTCTCCCTCAGCCTGTCTGCCCCCCCCTCCCGCCTCCTGTGCAGAGTCCTTCCTGGGGAGAAAGGCTGCTCTCTGACCCTCCTGACCTCAGATCAGGTTCCTGCTGGGGTCCTGCCCTGATTGTGTCAATGGCATCCAGTGTATTGGTCCTTCCTGGGACGGTCCCAACACTGTCCCTGATCCTCCCCTCCCAGGGGCCAATCACGACCCGGCTGGAGGCCTGCCTTGTCCACAAGACCTTCTCGCCTGCCCTCTGCCCGCTCCAACACCTCGCCCTGGCCTCTACCTGCTTGGCATTGCCGACCCAGAAGGTCACGGAGTGGAAGTGGAGGAATCGGCCTCTCACGGGCTGCAGGAGGAGAGAAGGGGCGAGACTGAGTCCCTGGAAGTAGGTCTAGAGAAGCGCAGGTGGAGAGGTGTTC